GCAGTTCTACATCAATTATTCCGGGTAAAGAAATGAGGAGTTCTGTAACTTCATTATCACCCCATTGGAAATTTTGGGAAGAAGCATTACAGATATTAAATAGTATGAAATTTCCAATTAACGTTCCCACACTTAAAAACTGGGTAACTACAATAAAAGGCATCAAATACATTTGTAAAAAACTTTTAGGTGATGGTTTTAAATTTATTACACTTAGATCTTTTAACCAAGACCCAGTAGAAAATTTATATGGTCAAGTTAGAAGCCATGGGTGTCGTAATGTAAACCCAACTTGCTCAAATTTTCAATCATCTTTTAAATCATTAATGATCAATAACTTAATGTCCTCTCAAAGTGTGGGAGCTAACTGTGAAGATGACAATTATGCAAATTTAACAAATTTTAAAAAATTACTGTTTACAACAAATATCTCCGAAAGTCCTCCAAAAGCATTATCTTCATTCTCTGAAATTAGTTTCCCTGAAAACATTAACATTCCTAAGAAAAATACTAAATTAGCTTTGGCTTGTCAAGCTTATGTTGCAGGTGCAGTCACAAAAAAAGTTAAAAAAATTACAAACAACTGTAAATTTTGTTTTGAAATTCTAAATTCGGAAAATTCTAGACATAGCCAAATAATTAGTTCTAGACAATATGACAATTGTAGTCTTCAAACACCATCAATCATCTCAACTAATATTTACTCTATATTTCTTAATGAATTTAATTCCCATATTCATTTTTTTTTTACCAACCCTAATATAAAATTAAATTTTTTAAATTATATAGGTACAGCCAAAAATTAAATTTGTTTCTTTATGTTTATCACATGACACTAAACAATTGTTTTTAAATCATGCGTTTAGAATTGTTATGTTTTCTTATGTTACAAATATTAATAGAGTATTAAAAGGAGAAAAAATGCAGAGTCTATGTTCTGAACCAAATAATGTAATTTCTCTAGCTGCAGATTATCATAAACGATTTAAATTAAAGAAACACAAAATTTTAAAAAATTGTAATATAAAATAGGTAATTAATTAATAGAAAAAATTATACATATGTACCTAGTTATCTTGTATACTTATATTTTTTATTGTTGTATATATAGTTTTATTATTTATCTGTATTTGCTTTTTATTATTTAAACGGATAACAAATAAAATAAGTATGTAAAAATTACAATTTGTTTTTACTTACTTAAGTACCTACCTATATAGTTCATAATAATTAATTTCACTGTTTAACATCGAATACAATGAAGAATAAAGAATAAAATGTGAGACATAAACAACTAACAAAATATTACAAGCATTTAATTAGTTTTTTATGATTACATTACTTCAATCACAGAAAAGTAAGTAACTTCAATGTTCAAAAGTTTCAAATATTTTGATAATAAGTAGGTATTATATGGATCACTACCTTTTGTTCCACAAAATAGTTATTCCAAAGTCAATTTGTTCAATTAATATTTGTTCCAGGAAATATTTGTTCCGACGTGTATTTATTCCATGAAATATTTGTTCCAACGACTAATTGTTCCACAATCCATTAAGTCACGAAAGCCAAGAATTCCAATATTTTTTTGTTTAAAGAATCATTGTTCCAAACTATATTTTATCAATGTTGCTTTATTTCAAATCTAATTTGTTCCAATGGATTTTTATCACGCTATTATATTTTCCAAGTTTGGAACAAATGTTTATACTTTAATGGAACAACTATTATTTGAAAATTGAAATATTCGGAACAAGTGCACTTTACCACCCCATGCAAATTTTTAGATTTTTTTTTTTCGGAACTTACTTATATTTACTATTTAAGAATAATGGTGCAATCAAAATTTGTAGTTCGGACATTATAGTTTCAAAGTTATGTCCTATGGAAGTTCTAAAATTTGCGTTTTTTACGCATTCTCAATACGCTATAATTTACCATGCTATTCTTATTTTAGATTCTGAGTGAAACGATGAATGTATTGATTTTACAATGATGTGTGTTTTTTTTTTTTTTTATTTTTTATTTTTTTATTTTTTTATTTTTGTGTCTGTGTACACGATAAGTAGTCGAAATAATGCTTCGATTTTCGACTTCAGTATCTTGTTCGATTGGAAAGTGAATATCGTTGGTGCATTGGGGAGGTCAAAATTTAAAATTCCCAATAGTTTTCACAAGCGCCGGGAAAAACAACATAAAAATTAAGGAAAAACGGGAATTTTTACGCAAAATCAGTTTTTGACAAAATCGAATTTGGTTTTTGGTGTAACTTTAAAACAAATGACCGTAGATACATGAAATTTTCACTGGTTGTTTATATTTGCATTTTCTATACACGATAAAATTTTCAAAATATTTTGATTTATTTTGAACTGTTTAGGGACATTTTCATTTTCCATTTTTTTTTAGTTTTTTTTCTAAAAATATCAATAAAATTGTATTTGTTGGTTGCGAAAGCTTGAAAATTTAATAGAAGGCTCCTAATATGTTGTTTCAAAGGCAGATGAAAAATATTAAAAATCCTTAGTCACAATTTTTTTTTATAAGCATTTAAAGTTCAAAAATTGACAAAATATGGAAAAATCACGAAAATTAGCAAATTATTTTGAGTTAAGAATTCGTAAAAATTTTTCTTTTTAAATCTAAGATTTGAAAATGAAACACAAGATTCCTTATAAGATTATCTACCTTTATCAATAAAAAAATCTCTACCGGACAGTCAAATTAAATTTTTATGAGCGTTTGAAATTCAAATTTTTACAACATTGGATTTTCACTCGATTACTCATGTAGCGATTTCCTTATTTTGTTGCAATTCAAAAACGAACAACTGTAGATACATGAAAATTTCACTGAATGTTTAAATTAGCATTTTCTATACACCATACAATTTTGAAAATATTTTGACTCTTTTTGAGCTGTTTATGGACATTTACAGCTTTCAATTTTTTTTAGTTTTTTTTTCTACAATTATCAATAAAGTTTTATCTGTTGGGCCAAAAAGTGTAAAAATTTAATACAAGGCTCCTGATATATTGTTACAATAGCAGTTGAAAAATATTAAAAATACATAGGCACAGTTTTTTTTTATAAGCATTTAAAGATCGAATTTTGACAGAATTTTTCAAAATCTCGAAAATTATTAATCATCGTAATTAATAAATTCTAAAATGTTCAGTTTTTATAGCTAAGGATTGAAAATTTAAAACAAGATTCTACGTAAGTAGTTAATTCTCTTACCGAAAAATCTAAAAAATATACAATCACAGTTTATTTTTATAGTCATTTTATGTTCAAATTTGGACGAAATTACATATTAAAAAACCTAGTTATTTTGTTGTGATTATATAATATTATTCGTGGGTACCTACTTGAAACTTCTAAAGTGTACTATTATATATCAATGATAGTATCAGGGTTTGTAATTGATCTTGATGTATAACGTGTTATAAGTACCTAATGGATATTGTGATAATGTGATATGATTAATTTGGAATTTATTATAGGTCAATTTTTTTTTTAATACCATAGATATGTATATAATTTGTCTTAAACCTAGACTGACATACCGTCTTCGCTCAGAATCGTTTTTCTTATACAATGATATTGTATCATTGAATTCAAATTTAATACCATCCATTATACAGTGACCCACTTGTAACCTACAGTACAGCAGAGCGACATCCACTTACCCACCTTTTTTTTTTCTGTTTTGGTAGGTACTTCCGTATTCTAACCTGTTTAAAACGATGCTGCAATCAGAATTTGTCAATCGAACTTAGTTTTGAAGTAGGTTATTAATTGGTTTTTGGAATTTGCGAATTTGTGTTTTTTTTGTATACCCACAACGGGAACAATTGCAGTTTAGCTACCAAGCGAACATTTGAAATTATTTTTTTTGAAACATATGTATTTCAACTAGTTAAGAACTAGTTAAAAATTCCCAAATTTTTTTGTTTATTTTTAATTTTTTTTGGTAGGGGACTTCTGTATATTGACTATTTAAAAACGATGGTGCGATCAGAATTTGTCGATCGAACTTAGTTTCAAAGTTATAGCGTTTTGGAGTTAACGATTTTGGATTTTTTTAAAAAATTAATTTTTGTTTAACCAAGTTACCGAGCGGGGTCACTCGCTTGCCGCGCTCGCTCGGACAATTAAAAACGAAAATATCCCTCGATTTGCTATGCAACACCTCCCCAAGTGAGCCACAGGGTTAAAAAAAAGTAACAACAACAATCTAGGCTTAAATATAAGTACCTATAATAGGACATAGGTACTCATTAATAATTTAATTAATATAATAAGTCTCAGTGTCTCACGAATAAAAAAAAAAAAATCGCGAAAGACGTTACAATGTAGGTATGCGCTCAGGCGTAAAAAAACTCAAAATAGCTTACTTCCAAGGGCCATAACTTCGAAACTATATCCGACCGACAAATTCTGATTGCACCATTATTCTTAAATCATTAATATAAGTAAGTTCCAAAAAAAAAAATCGAAAAATATGCATGGGGTGGTAAAGTGCAAGCATTTTATACGATAAAACTATTTCCACGGGTTATGATAGTTATTGTCGTAGATAACATATATAACATATATAATATAATATGTTCAATAATCTTATACATCACACACTAATGCCGGGTTGCATGAACGTTCATTAAATATTTAATGAACCAATAGTACGCTATTGAATGAATAAAAAGTTATTCATCCACTAAATGTTAAATAAACGTTCAATAACGTTATTGAGTCATTAAACAATTGGTTACCGGTCAATTAAACTAATGATCCGATTTCGGTTGAATAAAAATTTATTCGTTCATTAAATAGTAGTATACAGTACCTACGTCCGTTACTACCAATGCGTCTTGTCAATGCGTTACACCACTTACACACTCTTACATGTTACATTCTTGAATTTTTCTTGCTTACCACGTATATAATTAATTATTAATATTTAATACATCGCAAAGTAATTAAATACACTTTGAAAAATGACTGATTCCGACTCATCTAATTCTGATGATGAAATGGTGTTGGATGTATTATTTTATTTACCCAGACCAAGATTCTTTCGGGATAGGTCAAACCCATTGGAGGATTTCGACGATTTTGATTTTAAAAGTAGGTTTAGGTAAGTAACTAATAGCTATAATAACCAATAAGTTAAATAAAATGTAAATCGTACCTAATTTGATACACAATAAATGCATTTTTTTACAATAGACTATCAAAGGAAACTTTTGTATTTTTATTACATTTAATTGGAAACGATTTGCGACGTTCTACAAATAGAAGCTTCGCCATTTCTCCAGAAATACAAATTTTGGTGACTTTAAGATACTATGTTACAGGTACCTTTCAAGTATGTATAGTGTAACCTACATCAAAATGTATAGTACCTACCTATATTTTTATTTGTTTTTCTAAATGTAACGTTATATATTATGGTAAAGTTACTGTTGAACTGAACACATGTGTTGATGCATTAAGATTTAAGACCTCCGCTCTGGTCTATAATAGTGGAAATTTGCAAATTTTTCGCTGCCATCCAAGGCATGTATTAGTCATAAATGATTATATAAGTCTGTGCCTGGTTTTAAAACCAATTTAAAAAAAAATTTCCGAAATCAGTTAACTACGTGGCAGTGGCGTGCTAGGCGAGTTTTTGATCGAAAAAATCGGTTACGGGCAGCCCTTAGGGGGACGTCGCACACTCGCACCCTCAAATTATGTTGTCTTGTTGTCTCCGTCTTACACAGTGGCGTAGCCAGGAATTTTGTATAGGGGAGGGGGCTAAGTATACAAATACAATATGTCTTTTATTTACACTTTTTATAGCCCCTTAGCCACCCCCTGGTCTTACATACGTACGCATTGCACATTTTACGCTCAGCAAATCACGTTTAGCTCCGTTATTTTAAAAATAAAAGTGAATATAAAATTATAAAAATAATCTTATAAAATTCAAAGGTAAGATCTAGATATTATCTATAGTGAATAATCACGTAGGCTTTTTTATTATATTTTAATTTTAAATCGAGTTATAAGTATTTTAAAATTGTAAATTGTTTGTAGGTACATCTTAAAATTAAAAATACTTATAACTCGCTTTAAAATTAAAATATAATAAATAGCCTATGAGATTTCCTAGATAATAATCTTACATTTTAATTTTATAAGAAGTCAATTCACTCTTATTTTTTAACTAACGGATCTGAACGTGATCTGCTGAGTGTAAAATTATTATTTTTAAAATTAACTTCTAAAATAATATCCTTTAAAGGATTTGATTGTTATAACCGTTCCTCTTTAACTGTTAAAAATTGAACAAGTACTTTTCTATTGTACATAGTCACATACCTAGGTAACTGTCTACTATAATCCTTTCTTTCCCTATATTCCTTAATAAAGGCCGTTATTGGAGATCACGTACACTAGGGGGTAGTGATATTCTGTTTTTTGTCAAATTCGATTTTCCTTAGTGCTAAAAAGATGCCCAATAAGCTCCTGAACACTAAACTTTTTAAAAAATTGAAATCGGTCATTGTCTTCAGGTCGCGGATCGGAAAAAACGTTTTAATAGGCGGGAGGGGAGGGGGTGTTCGTAACTTTTGCGATATAATGCTCTGCACCGTTGTTTTCGTCATATAAATGATTTTATTATGGCAAGTTGGCGTTCAGTTAATACCCATCATCAATCACCACTGGCATGACTTCACTGGACAGGAAAGCACACACAGTAACGTGTTCAAACATGCGCGACACGTTGCCCGAGCCACGACATAGCAGGTCAGGAACGTGTTAAAACCTGCACGATACACCGCAACACAACTCGGCCGAGCTTCATTATCAAGATTATTGTGTAGCTGTCAACACGTGTACTGTGTTGAGCGCTTCTGTGATATCAAAATGTCTTTCAATCTGCGATCTTCGGATACTGAATGTCCAATTTTTGGGACACCACAACCGTTATCGGTTGTAATGCTGCCTACCTACGAGGATATCATGAAACATTTTTTATTTATCACTAATGAGATGAAAAAAACATGCAAGAAGAGCCCTTCAATGAAGTTGATCCGCGGAAAAATTGTTAAAAACGTAGTTGAAATATGGGCTAAAGCTTCGATTCCTACTGTGTCCGTTCAACGTGTTGAATCGATGTTTTCGACGTTTTACGAAAAGTATAAAAATGCTAAGAAAAGTTTCGGATCTAAAGCTCATACAACTGAGAACAATAAGGATAAAAGTAAAACAGCGTTGCTTGAAATGGCGCAACAGTTATTTGATATAGCTGCATGTAAGTGCCCTGAACCGAAATTTTGCAAGTGTCCGACTTTTAAGAAGATTCCGTTTCTCGAATTAAAATTTATGGAAGATCAGCGAACCGTTCGTAAAATGGGAGTCGGAGGAGTTGATCAAAAAGAAACAAAAAATATGAGAGACAAAGAGGAGCGGAAAATTAAACGGATCGCTCGGTCAAAAAGTCTACAAACTATTAAAAATATTCAAGGTGAATCTACATCATTTTTTTCTCCTGAATCGGAATCAGGTCAAGACTCAGATAGTGAAACGGACGAATGGTGTCCCCAAAAACGCTCATTATCATTGGAATCGAGTTACTATAATTGCAAAAAACTTAAAAACGCATCTGTAGCAGCTGATCGTTTTGGAGTGTCCAGCGGCGCGGCAGCAGCAATTATATCTGGAGCTCTGCAGGATTATAAGCTGGTCACTGGCAGTGATTCCAGTTTGCTTGTTGATAAAAGTAAACTTAATAGACAGAGGTCAAAGATAAGAACTGAAAAACGAGAAGAAGCGTCAATATCACTCCAGACTAACACAGTGACAGCAATATATTTTGATGGGAAAAAGGATGAGACTAAAACCGTTGATAAAACCGGAAATAAGAGTCGCACAATCAGTAAAATTGAAGAGCACATATCTGTGTTATCCCAACCAAACGACGAATATTTAACGCATTTAACGCCGGCTGGTGGAACAGGGGAACAAATCGCAAGTGTTTTATTTGAATATTTGCAGAACCTACCTGCATTGGATTTGCGCGCTGTTGGATGTGACGGAACCAACGTCAACACAGGTTGGAAGGCAGGAGCAATCGCATTACTAGAGAAAAAATTAGGATATCCAGTGCAAAGGTTCATTTGCTTGCTTCATGGCAATGAACTTCCCCTTCGACATATGTTTCAAAATATTGATGGATCAACGACTGGGCCAACATCTTTCAGCGGCCCCATCGGAAAATCGCTTGTGCGCTGCTTAAGTCTTCAGGTAGTACAATTTAAAAAAATCGATGTGGAAATTCCAAATTTTGATTCGAAACTTTTGAGCACAGATCAAAAGTACTTAATTGATATTGCCCACGCAATCAAGTCTGGTCTTTGCCCAGACAATTTGGCATCGAGGGATCCTGGACCGCTAAACCATTCGCGCTGGGTGACAACGGGTAACAGACTAATGAGAGTTTATATTGGAACAATGAATCCATCTGTTGAGTTAGTTACCTTAGTAGAGTTTGTCATGAAAGTATATGTACCGATGTGGTTTACCATTAGAAAAGAGCCCTCGTGTACTAATGGAAGCAGACACATGATGAAGCAAATAACACTCTCGTCGTACTTACCAACAAAATACAAGGTCATCGTTCAACAAGTAATACAGCAAAATGCTTACTTTCTGCATCCAGAAAATGTTTTAATTTGTATGGTAACTGATAACGATCCTGAGATCCGAAAACGGGGATTGGAATTAGTGTTATTAAGCAGGGAGACCGCCAAAAAAGAAGGAAAAATTCGTCCATTCCGTGTTCCAAAAATAAATTTTGAAGCGACGCACTACTCGGACCTCATAAGTTGGGATGAAATCGATTTAACTACTCCACCTGCGATGAACAACTTTTCTACATCAGAACTTGCGGATTATTTCAATCAGAATGAAGTGCCTCAATTGCCAATTTTAGACTATCCATGCCATACACAAAGCGTTGAGCGTATTGTTCAAGAAGTTAGCAAAGCTTCTAAGATGGTTTGCGGATTTGAAGCACGCGATGGCCTAATTCTGAGTAAAATAAGTCATAGGAAGCTCATGCCCAGTCTTCGCACTAAGGCAGATTACAAGATTTCTACGGAAGAAAAATCCATTGTGTAAAGTGCAAGTATATTAATTTGTTAATTGTTTTATGCCTATTGCGCTTTGTTGGTAGGGAGGAAGGGGAGGGTGGGTGGGACTCGATGTGCAGCCACCTCCCCGTGGTGAGTCCTGGGTAGTTCAGAAAATAACTAGCCAAGAGCTGCACCTTTCGTTTCGAATTCTAACTGACTAAAACGTAATGGTTCGAAAATTCACGAACACCCCCTCTCCTCCCGCCTATTAAAACGTTTTTTCAGATCCGCGACCTGAAGACAATGACCGATTTAAATTTTTTTTAAAGTTTGGTATTCAGGAGCTTATTGGGCATCTTTTTAGCACTAAGGAAAATCGAATTTGACAAAAAACAGAATATCACTACCCCCTAACGTACACGTCCATAAGTCAACAATATGCCGAACCATAAAACGTGTGTCACTCGCGATTGGTCGTCTTCGTCCGCATTTTATCAACATGCCTAGGGATGCTGAAGAAATTCAGAAAGTTCAAACAGGTTTTTTTCAGATTGAAAGGATTTCCAAGAGTGGTTGGGGCAGTAGACTGTACCCACATACGTATACAGTCACCAAACAGCAATATTGGAGAAAGATTTCGAAATCGGAAAGGGTATTTCTCCTTCAACGTACAGGCTATATGTGATAGCAACTTAAAAATCATGAATATTGTTGCACGGTAAACATAACTATTTAAAAAATACATTTTAATAATTACAATTTACATACGTACTTAAATGAACCTATTGGTGGAGCATAAAAGTGATTTTTAAAAACATCCCCTGAAACTTTTTGTGCCTACCTACTTCATAAATTTAAAATGTTACCTTAAAAACAACCTTATTACCATTAATTATAAATAGTATTATTTATAGTGAAATTAATCGGTATAATTTTTACTGTATGTATGTAAGTTCTTGTATTATGATACTATGATAGTATAATAGAACAAACTAATACACAAAGGTATTGTTCATCTAAAATGTTGTTGTAGGTGGCCAGGTTCTGTTCATGACAGTACAATTTTTGATAATAGTATGTGTAGGGCTCAGTTTGAAAATGGAGAATATGGAAATAGTTTTTTCCTCGGAGACGGAGGCTATCCATGTCGTGATTACATGATGACTCCTCTTCTTCGTCCCGTTACTGAAGCTGAGAAGAGATATCAGGTATTAGTATATTATTTATTGTTAGGAAACATTTAATACTACCATTCATAGAAATTAAATTTCTCTCTTTTCACTCTTAATTTTCCACAATCTGGTTCAAATATAATTTTAAGTTATAAGGAATTAAAATTAAATTAATCTAATACATATTTTTTTTATGATTTGTGCTTCATTAAAATATCTCCGACCACCTTCATTAAAATAACTTCCAGATAAATTTAATTTAGTTTAACAATTATGCATTTAAAAATATCATTTTTTATCATAGAAAGCTCATATTGGTACAAGAAACGTTGTAGAAAGACTATTTGGTGTGTGGAAAAGGAGATTTCCGGTGATAGCTGTAGGAATACGCACACAGCTTAACACGACTATGACGACCATTGTTGCCACAGCTGTTTTATACAACATTTTAAAAGAACAAGGTGATGAAATGCCAGCCGACGAATATGCCGTAGATAATGACTTACTTCTGGAAATTGATATGAACCCTGTAAGGCAAACAGGCAATTTAGTCAGAGGACAGTTAATTGACCCGGTATTTACATAAAAACCATTTTATAGCGGTATCAGTTAGTTGTAGTATGTATATTATTTGTAAATTTTTTGTATTATTCATTAGATTTGTTTATGTATACTAAATTTAAAATTGTATATTTATTTTTCAAGTATAATAAATAAATTATTATTATACAGTTTTGAAAATGAAAATAAATATTTTTATACAGTTATAAACTTATAAAAATGAAAATAAATATTACTTATGTAAAAAAAATCAACTAATTTTATTATATAATTTTAATATTATACGAAATACTTAAATTATGAACAGTAAGTTTTAAAAATTGCTATAGTTTAATTATTTATACGATTATACTTGCAAATATATATTTACTCAAGTCCAAACATTTTTTTTTTGTGCTTGAGTTCTAATAATAATATCTCTTCTTTAAATTTGTTTTGACGAGATTCACTTTCCAATCTTTCAACTTCAAATTTTACTTTTTGTGTCATAAGTGTTTTTTCTAGTTCACTTACTTCAAGGTCAACTTTTGCTTTTTTTAACCTAATACTGTGTAGTTCATCTTCAAATTTTGTGGTATTTTCTGTTTTTGCTAATCGCTTGTTATTCAAAATAGATAAACCTTCGTACACTTTCTTGGAACTTATCTGTTTAGATTCATTAACATTAATAATATTTTTTGATTTAGAGGAGATTAAATTTTCAGACAAATTGGATTTAGGAGTACAGGATGTTGAAGGAACGGATTCATTTAATGATCTGGATTGTGGTTCAAGGGTATCACATGTCACTTCATAATTTTGTAAAACATATGCTAAAGCAAAAAAATCAAAAAATTAAAAGCAAGCAACAAGTCAATCATATTGTTAAATAATCATCAGTAATTAATAAAAAAAATTATATACAAACCATTAGTGTTGGGAAGTAACTTAAGCTATAAGTAGCTGTAGCACAATTACTTTTTATGCAATTTGATTACATTTGATTGTTAGTAATTTATATGTAATTAAAGTTACTTTTTGTACTTACATAATTACATTAATAAATAACTCGTTACTTTTTTTTCCGCAACACCAACATTTGTTATTTGGGCGTAATATAGCAACTAAGGTATTCCATACTTCCGCGATTACTAGGTACTCTCTGACTCTCTAGTTCGGTTTAGAGCAAAAGGATCTATTATAAGTTGTATACAGAAAGAAAAATATTCAGTCAATGAACTTAATATTCTTCTTTAGAAAACATATAATAGTTCCTTTACCCTGTACTGAATCAGAGAGTCACCATTGTGAAAGTAAGGAATACGTTTGTTGCTAAAGTACATGCAAATAACAAATTTTGATGTTGCAGATCCTCATTCACATGGGCGCAACTAGAGCAAAATTAATGACGTGCTAAAACCTAAAGTACAACATGAAAACCCTCCTTTCTTATTTAAGATAAGCAAAATAATTATACACTAAAATAGTAAAATGTAATGTTTTTATTTAAGAAGATGTCAGCGGCCACTAAGCACACTATTTGTTTTCTCTCTCTGGCCCACGCGCGACACAGACACAACTCATTTACGCAGAATAATTTTTTATATCTAGGAAAAATTACACCTACTGATTCTACTTATTTGTGTACACAGTACAATTAATACAATGATAAACCAAATGTAATAAACGTATTTGATGTTTCCATTGACCATAACAAATTAAAATAACTTAGAAAAACAATATATTTTGATAATTTATCATAAATTATTATTTATAAAATCAGAAGTTTTACTATTACCAATATTGTAAGAAACCGGCACAGAAAATTTGGGAGTGCTAGGCACTCCCAAGCATCCCCCCCACTAGTTAGTAGTTGCGCCCATGCTCATTCATTATTTATTCTTACCTGATTCACGATTATACAAATTGTTTGATGTTCCATCATCTACAGTATCTTCCACATCTATACTTTGATGCCCTAATAAAATGATAATATTTATATATTTAATTTTGTTGCAAATTAATTTATGTATTATAAATTGACATTAATAACATATTTGTATAACATACCAATTGACATTATGGACCATGATATACCAATGTAATAAAAATATTTACCTACCTGTATTGTAGTCACCATCACAATCTATTACATTAATCAATGGATCCAATTGTTCTCCCAGTAAACCAAAAATTTTTTCCGTAGATTTTGAAATACTTGGAATGTGTGTACCTCCGCCTGTTATATACCTTTGTACCTATATAGAATATAAATAAAATTAATATTTTTTTCAATCAGTTCTCAATAAAGAGATAAGTTGAATTATAATCATAAACAGTAAATACAGTTTATAATTATTATATAAAACAAAATTTGAAATTTGAATATTATACATTTAATTTCAATACAAAATAACCAATAAAGTAAAAATTGCATGTTATTTTAGCAATATTAAATTATAATACATCAAAATAATAAATTTACCTTATCATGACTTTTTTCTTTCCTAGCATCTCTTTTCAGTCCATCGTACAAATGTTTTAATTGTACATCAATTCTGATGCCTGATTTTTGTTGCATATTGTACAAACAAGTAATCTCAGACCAGGCCTCAGTTTTCTTTTGGTTCCAAACCGCATCAGTCTGAATAAAATATTTTAAAAACAATTAAACTTAAAAATAAAAAGATATTTAATAATTATTATTTAGATGCCTAAATTAGTTTTATATATTTTATTATTAGAACTGAGGACTACTATACTCTTATTACTACCACAGACCTTTAGTCTTTTTCATAACATTTTAGTAAGGTAGCAGAACTATAACATGATAATAATCAGGGGCGGACTGGGCTAAATATATGATATCATGCATATTTTGAAAGTAAAAAAGTCCTCAGTCCCAACAATTATTATGTATTATAATGTATATTGTCTATGTATTATAGGTACATACAATAAAAATATTCTTAAAATCGATTTCAGTTGTCTGAATAATGTATACAAATCAACAAATTGACAAATTACATTTTTAAACCGTCATCAACTGACAACTATACTCATAAACATGGTATAATATATTGGTACCAATATTTTTCAATTTTATCGAATTGATGTATGTATAGTTTGACTTAAAAATACATATCGATATATACGTACACAAAAATAACACAAATTAGATACTTTAATAGGTACTTACTTTCATGTTTTCAATTATTGACTTGAAAGGTAATATCAAGTCAATTAGCATATCTTTCTCCCATTCTGTAAAGTTTTTTCCCCGTTGCCGTTTTAATTTAAAATCACTTACATTTACTTCTGACATTATTATACTGTACTTATTACGGACGTAGGACGTAGGTAAACATAAAAACACTTTAAATAGTTAGGTACTAGGTAGTATAATATTACGGGTGTGAAGTTGGGGGACTATAGCTAGGGGACTATTTTCTCGGACGACTAGTGATAACAGGCCTTGTATGCCCGGTTGCGTTTTATTATATTCAAGGCACTCAACATTTGTATTACCGTCAACCACAAGATGGCGTCATGAAATTCACTTACATCATTATATGCCCGTATATTAATGCGACCGACCAGCCCAGGGGACTATTTTTTCGTACCGCCGCGTGCAGGTACCCATGCGCAGTTTTTCATTTTTCCGACCAAGTTCCGGAAGGTGGCGCAGCATTAAACCTATATATTCGGAAAGCCAGGAAAATTCTCTATAAGATGAAAATAAGTCTAGGAGCTACAAAGCTTTCGGGGACATAGTAATATGCGACCGAACGGCCCAGGGGACTATTTTTTCGTGACCGACCAGCCCAGGGGACTATTTTTTCGTACCGCCGCGTGCATGTACCCATGCGCAGTTTTTCATTTTTCCGACCAAGTTCCGGAAGGTGGCGCAGCATTAAACCTATATATTCGGAAAGCCAGGAAAATTCTCTATAAGATGAAAATAAGTCTAGGAGCTACAAAGCTTTCGGGGACATAGTAATATGCGACCGAACGGCCCAGGGGACTATTTTTTCGTACTTAATAGGTACGGGCGGGTGTGCCGTTTTTAATTTATTTGACCAAGTTCCGGAAGGTGGCGCAGCATTAAACCTATATATTCGGAAAGCCAGGAAAATTCTCTATAAGATGAAAATAAGTCTAGGAGCTACAAAGCTTTCGGGGACATAGTAATATGCGACCGAACAGCCCAGGGGACTATTTTTTCGTACCGCCGCGTGCATGTACCCATGCGCAGTTTTTCATTTTTCCGACCAAGTTCCGGAAGGTGGCGCAGCATTAAACCTATATATTCGGAAAGCCAGGAAAATTCTCTATAAGATGAAAATAAGTCTAGGAGCTACAAAGCTTTCGGGGACATAGTAATATGCGACCGAACGGCCCAGGGGACTATTTTTTCGTGACCTACCAGCCCAGGGGACTATTTATTCGTACCGCCGCGTGCATGTACCCATGCGCAGTTTTTCATTTTTCCGACCAAGTTCCGGAAGGTGGCGCAGCATTAAACCTATATATTCGGAAAGCCAGGAAAATTCTCTATAAGATGAAAATAAGTCTAGGAGCTACAAAGCTTTCGGGGACATAGTAATATGCGACCGAACGGCCCAGGGGACTATTTTTTCGTACTTAATAGGTACGGGCGGGTGTGCCGTTTTTAATTTATTTGACCAAGTTCCGGAAGGTGGCGCAGCATTAAACCTATATATTCGGAAAGCCAGGAAAATTCTCTATAAGATGAAAATAAGTCTAGGAGCTACAAAGCTTTCGGGGACATAGTAATATGCGACCGAACGGCCCAGGGGACTATTTTTTCGTGACCTACCAGCCCAGGGGACTATTTATTCGTACCGCCGCGTGCATGTACCCATGCGCAGTTTTTCATTTTTCCGACCAAGTTCCGGAAGGTGGCGCAGCATTAAACCTATATATTCGGAAAGCCAGGAAAATTCTCTATAAGATGAAAATAAGTCTAGGAGCTACAAAGCTTTCGGGGACATAGTAATATGCGACCGAACAGCCCAGGGGACT